CATAAGGACGTGTACGGGCAATATATGTTTGTTGAAAATATAATAATAATGGTTTAAATGCTAATGGTAATTCATCAGATAGTTCTCCAAATGCATCTACAACATCATCAACTGATATCAAAGCTAAACAAGCAATCATACGTGCTTGACGAGCGAATCTGGCATTTGTATTATAATCGTTTTGCATTCCTAATTCTTAGATTTTGCGATGAATAGTTCGACGAAAATGAAAATAACAGCCGGTCATTTGAATATTTGGAAATGCGTCACCTAATACCTTAACCTAATACATTTATAATTAAATTATATGGGTATACGATCAAAATATAGATCAAGTGGTTCAGGTGCTGAATCAGCAGTAATACGTGCTCTTTGTATATTACGTTTTACATGATGGAGATCAGGAATAGTGGCTCTTGCTTCTTCGGAAACACCTAGTAAGGAAAACATAATTAGGTCAGAGTGTACGTCGTTTAAAAAAGTAATAGAAAATTTATTATAATTACCAGTCATAAAAGCTGATGATATATCATTGGTGGTCTCATTAATTGTTTTCGCTCTGTCTTTTAAATTATTCATCAAATCGCGAACCTCACTTTTGGCAGCATCTGCAGGATGATCATGGTCGAACTTTGGTTGTTGAACAATAGAATCATCAATATTTAATGTATGAATACGAACGTTACATTTTTTTGACCAATAATCTTTACATTTCCAATATGTTTTTTCTCCGGACTTTTTTTCAGTTACATATTCATAACCATTAAAGCGCAGTAAACGTTTGCCTTTAGTAGTTGATAAAAACTAGCCATACTTGTAATGAGAGTATTATTATTATTACGATTATTACTATTATTATTAGTATTATAATTAAAAAATGAAAACAATAGACTAAAAAAAATGACAGCGATAGAATGTCTTGATTTTGAGCATAACAAACAGTATGATATGTGTGCATAGAGATGTAAGCCGAATTTTGAGATGCCGCCGTCGAAAAATTCGACCCTTATTCATAGTACTTTTTCAGTTATTCTTGTGCGTCTATTTACTTTATGGTTATCGTTCAGTTATCTACGAAAATTCATGCGACGAAATGCCATTCGATGAAAAGTTCATGCGATGAAAAACCTTTCGATTAAAAGTCGCTCGACGAAAAGTCCGTGCGATGAAAAATCTTTCGACGAAATGTCGTTCGATGAAAATACTTTCGATGATTTGTCGTTACCTCATGCCTAAGAAATACTTTTAATCTGTGATATTGGCAGTTCTATATCTTTAAAACTGAAAGGGACTTTTTTTCTAAAAAGTAGATCAATATATAGTACAACTGGTATGCTTCAGATTAGTATAAAAAGTGGGAAAGGATTTTCTCTAATTACTTTAGTTTAAATTAGCGAAAAATTATGCTTTATGTTTTTTATGCTTTTGAGAGTCGTTAGATAAGTCTTGTGGAACTCCTCTCTTTATCCACATGGAAAAGAGGATATGAACTGTATAATGGCAAGAAATAGCTCGGGAAAATAAGAAAAAGTAATCCTCCTTTTTGCTAAAACCAGATTTCCGGTTACATCTCAAGGGGTTTCACATTTTTAGATCTTAGCTCACGCACGCTGATGGAGCTTTTCTAATTGAGCTAACGAGGGAACCTCCCGAGGTGATAAATCGCTTTTTGATCGATATCTAGTGGGTTATAGGGTATCGACCATGCTGATTCCAAATATGACCATGGGGCTTCCCCATAGCTCTTCGAAGATCCAGTTATTCGGAAAACCAGTTTTTGAGATACCCCTAAAAATGACCCAAGCTTTCCTTAACAACTCAGGATTGTAGCGCGTAAATTTCTGATTAAAATGAAGCATCCCCCCGCTCTACACAACCTTTCTTTGCAAAATTATAGAATTTATAATAAGAGCCCTAAATTGTTCATTATCAGCTCAAAGGGTAAAGTCGCGTTTCGCCAATTCAACTTTCGCCAATAGACATTCGCCATATTGGCGACTGGCGAATGTCCACACGACATCCGCCAGATTGACATTCGCCAGTACCCCTACGACATTTGCCATAA